CGAGTTATTAACGGATAAAAATTTACTTTGTAATTAATAATTTTTAAGTGGTCGGATACTTTTGCTAGGTGAGTGTAAATTATTTTTATTTAATCAAAAAAGATTTTATTAAAAGTGATTAGCAATGATTAGCACATATATAAAATTTAAATAACTCCTGATATGATCACTAACTGTTAATAAAAAAATATAAAATTAAATATAAGTTTGAAACTCTTGAAAATTATTTTCAGAAATATATTGATATTAATCTAATAAATAATAACTATTTGTATCTATTTTATTTTTTTTATTATATAATATTACATGAAACAAAATTTTTTCTCAAATATCCACAGGTCAAATATAAAAGATGTACTGTATCAAAAAGGAATTTTAATTTTAGCTGATTTATAATATAGGATGCAATAGGACAGTCAATTGTTATCAATTTTTAGCTAATTTATAGTATAGGAATTATCATTTAGTACAGTAATTCTTTTGTATTTAACTAGTGATCACTTATGTAATATAATAAAATTAGTGAAGTCAAATTAGCCCATATGTTCACAAGTAACTCATATTATGTGAGCAGGATTGAATTACTGTTTGAATTCATCAGATCATATTGGATATTAGATTAATTCAATTCAAATCTCTACATGAATACACCTAGTATGTTTACTTAATATCTCATTAAACCTATATCTTAACTATAAGTTTTATTTAGACTCAATATAATCTTGAACAAGAGATACCCTTGAATTTTATAGTAAGCATTTTTTAATAACTTTTTATTGTATTTATAGAATGAAAAATCTGTAGAATCATTTTGGTTCAATTGATCCTTAGAAGACTAAAACAAGTTTCACAATGGGACATGCACCTCACCTCATCAAATGTACTCTACAACTGCAAATCAAGACTTAATGGCTACTAAAGTTAATTTGTATTTCTATATTATATTATTAACTAACTATTTATGAATTTGGTTATAAAACATGCATATATATGTTTTTTTTAGGAAAGTAGGTTATTACAGTTTATATTTGAAACTTTGGTTATAGATTAAGATTTTAATTGAATCGACTATATAAAGGAAAGAATTTTTTATTGGTTAAAAAGCACATGTGATCAATATAATTTTTATTAAAAAAGATGATCTAAGGTTTAAAAAAAGTTCAATTAATTCTACTAATAAACTGATGGCTAAACGTTCCTCAATTATACCCGAAAATTCAAGTGATAATTCGGTATCTGATAACGTTATTATAGATAATAATAATAATAATAATAATCATCTTCATAAAAGTGTGGAGGATAATAATAATAATATTGTTACCTATAAAGAACAGGATGTTGATAAAAAACATCGATATGTCTCGAAACGACGAGATGACGATCCTGGATGGGTAGAGGAAGTTCCACCATATTATTTTCTTTTTACAACCTACTTTTCATATTTAGTTCTTATTTGTTTTGGTCATATACGAGATTTCTTTGGTAAAAGATTTAGAAGTAATAATTATCAACATTTGAAAGAACAAAATGTGAGTTTTTTTTTTTCCAAATAATATTTTTAAGTGATATTTTTTTTTGTTATTTTTGAATGAATAATAATTTATATATAATAAATATATATAAAAATAAAAAATAAATAATATATATATATATATATTCTTAATTCAGGGTTATGCACCTCTTAATTCAGATTTTGATAATTTTTATGTTCGTCGACTTAAACTTCGAATAAATGATTGTTTTAATCGACCCGTTACAGGAGTACCAGGAAGAAAGATAACACTTCTTGAACGAGAAACCAAAGATTATTGTAAAACATTTCAATTAACTGGAAAAACTAGAGAATGTTTAAATTTAAGTAGTTATAATTATTTAGGATTTGCACAAGCTGATGGACCATGTGCCGATGCGGTTGAACAAGTAGTAAGAAAATATGGAATATCAATGTGTAGTCCACGATTAGAAGTTGGTAAGGTTGACTTAATTAATGTTATAATTAATAATAATAATAATAATAATAATAATAATAATAATAATAATAATAATGATATTAATAATAATATTAATAATAATTTTAATAATATTAAATTCAATTAGGTACATCAGATCTTCATTTACAAGTTGAATCACTTGTTGCAAGATTTGTGGGGAAAAAAGCAGCAATGATTATTTCTATGGGTTACGCAACAAATAGTACAACATTACCAGCACTCGCATCAAAAGGTTGTTTAATAATTTCAGATGAATTTAATCATAGTTCATTGGTTTTTGGTAGTCGATTATCAGGTGCTTTTATTAGAGTTTTTAAACATAATAATATGGAAGATTTAGAATCATTATTAAAAGAATGTATTAGTCAAGGTCAACCACGTACACATCGTCCATGGAAGAAAATTTTATTAATAGTGGAAGGAATTTATTCTATGGAAGGTAGTATATGTAATTTACCTAAAATTATTGAATTGAAAAGGAAATATAAGGTAAATATTATTTTTAATTTTAATTCAAAAATTTAAAAATAATTTTTTTAAATTATTTTATAAATTATTTTAAGTTATCAAGAATAATAAATGACAACAAAAATAAAAAAAAACACAACTTGATATGATAAATATATATATAATATATTTGACAGTTTTATCTATATGTTGATGAAGCTCATAGTATTGGAGCATTGGGACCACGTGGGCGCGGAGTTTGTGATTATTATGGAGTTGATCCGGAAGATGTTGACATAATGATGGGAACATTTACTAAATCATTTGGAGCAGCTGGTGGATATATTGCAGCCAATCAAGATGTAATTGATCATCTGAGAATTATAAATCATTCTTCAATATATGCTGAATCAATAACACCTTTAGTACTTCAACAAATTTATACTTCTATGTCAATCATAATGGGTGAAGATGGAACAAATGAAGGTCAATCACGTTTAGAACATTTAGCTTTTAATGCACGTTATCTTAGTACAAATTTAAGACGCTTGGGATTTATTGTTTATGGTGATCGAGATTCTCCGATTATTCCTCTCTTATTATTTAATCCGGCTAAAATTCCGTACGTAATATTATTATTTATTATTTATTATTTATTATTTATTATTTATTATCTATTATTATTTATTATTTATTATTTATTATTTATTATTTATTATTTATTATTTATTATTTATTATTTATTATTTATTATTATTTATTTATTATCTATTATTTATTTATTATCTATTATTTTTTTTTATTTATAATTATTAATTAATTATTTATTTTCTATTTTCATTTTTCTAGTGCCTTTTCTAGAGAATGCTTAAAACGTAATATGGCAGTAGTGGTAGTGGCTTACCCCGCCACACCGATGATTTCATCACGTGCCAGATTTTGTATATCTGCTGCACATACTAGACAAGATTTGGATGAAATATTAAAAACATGTAATGAAATAGGTGACATTTTACAACTTAAACTTTCTAATAATCCAAAAAAATTAACTATTGAAGAAGTATTGAAGTATGGTGAACATGGTCTATAAATTAATTAATGACAATAACAATAATAAACTATCATAAAAAAAATAATAAATAATTGTTATTAATTAATTATATACATTCAGATAGATATATATATCTATATATATATAACATTTCAATAGAATATTTTATTATGGTGAAATCGATTGGATTGGTTGATGGTGGGTTAATATATAAATAAGAAAACTTAATATATTTTATTTTATTTCATAAAAATTATTATTTTTGATTTATTATTTTAAAGTTATAAAAATCCAGGATTCCTGTTTATATAAATTTTTTTTATGATCGATTATGAATTCTTCATCTAGATTACAATTTTGGATTTTGGATTACTTAATAAATTTCTTTTTTTATTACTTCCTATTCTCTTCTCTTCTCTTCTTCCGGTACTCTCTTCTATTCAGAAGATTTAATGAATTAGAAATCATTAATTCCTTTATTGATACATATTGTTATTTATTGTTATTTATCATTATTTTTATTATTATTAATTGCAATAGCACCATTTATACATTATTTATTTATATTTTTTAATATACATAATTACAAATTTAAACTTTTCAAATTATTCTTAATTTCTTATATTGAAAATGTTGTTATAATGTATAATAAAAAAAAATGAAAGAGTATCAATTCAAGTAAATATATATATTAAAAAAAAATAAATAGCACGTGAGACATTGAAGAAATCTAAAGAATAATGCAACAATCTAAAATATATCTAAGGATCCAAATATACATTATTTACATACTATTATATTATATATCTTATATATAGATAAACGAAAACTAATATAGTAAAACAAATAACTGATTTTATTATTTATGAACCAAATTTGGGTGGACACAAATTACATGATGATCGATATCAACGCTCGCGTTCTTGGAATTCCATAATAAGATAAAATTCAGAAATTACGGATAATCAATTGACATAAATATTATTCGATAGGAGGTTGATCAAAAAAATTTCGGACCTCGAAATTGATCAACAAAACTATTGTCTCCTAAAGATACAAATACAATTATGTAACAATTGTTATTTAGATAATTAACCATAATCCATTTCCCACGTTTTTTGAAAGAGTCCATTCTAACCTTTTTTTTTAATATATATATATATATATAAAATATTAATATTTGCTTTATAAACATCTACATCTGTGTTACCAATGAAATCATCTCGATTTTTCAATTATTTCGTAATCTAGTAGATTCATCATCTTCATCACTTTGTTCATAATCAAATAATTCTTGTTGGTGATGAAGAAGCGGATCTTGATTATCTTGATTATCATTATTATTATTATCATTATTATTATTATTATTGTCATTATCATTATTATTATTATTATTTTCTTCATTATTACGATTATCATTATCAGTTTCTATTAATCTAGGCACTGATGATGAAGGTGGTGGTGGTGGTGGTGGTGGTGGTGGTGGTGGGATAGATGATGATGATAAACGAAGTACATTAACAGTCTGATCAGATTGACCGGTTTGGGATTGATTAGTTAGATTGGATGGTGATCTTCTCATACTAGAATTACGACGTGGTACATTTTCTGATAAAAATCTTGTACTATAATTACTAATTATACTACTCTTTTTACTAGAACCTTCACCACCACCAGGTCCTTGTAATCCATGTGATCCGTGAGATGATACTGATAATCGAGGTGATAATGATGAGGATTGAGGATGAGAAGAATAAGAAGGAAGAGAAGAACGGGAATGGGGAGAACGGGAAGGGGAAGGAGAAGGATTTCGTTGAGATAAATGAGATACTTGAGATAAAGATGGAGGTGATCCTCCTTGATATATTAAATTACTTCCTACAGTAATATCAGGTATTATCATCACATTATTATTATTATTATTGTTATTGTTGTTATTGTTTTCATTGTTATTATTGTTATCATCATCATTATTTTTTATTATAACATTCTGTCTTTCTATTATTCTATTATTACCAACCTCTTCAATTTCTTCTATAGGTAAAAGTTCTTCCTTATTATTATCATCATCATCATCATTATTATGTACATAACCAATATTTCCTATACCTACATTTCTATAAATTCCTTCACCTTCACCTTCCCCAACACCAACATAATCTTCATCTTCATCGCTTGTTATATTAGTATTAATACTATTATTATTATTGTTATTTATCACACAGACCAAAGGAAAAGCACCTTCTTGTTGAGTAATTAAATTAACTCCTACTGCCCAACCATCATCAAAAATTTGTTTAACTTCTATTATATCATCAGGAGATAATTCTAATTCATCAGGTAATTGAGATATGTAAGGATGTACAACTTTTACTAGATCCTTACTACTTCTACCTCTTGAAATTCCAATTTTTCTACCATCATCATCATCACCATCATCATTACTAATAATTCCTGTGTTATTAATTCCTATGTTACTACTACTTCCTATGATTCTTCTTTGATCATAAATATTTTGTGTAGAAGAATGTAAGTGTGATGGATCGGTGATAATTTGTATATGTGATGTATCAGTCATAATTGTGTTGTTTATTGATCTAGAATATTGATCTATTCCGGTAATACTATTATTATCTGAACTACTATTATTATCGGATAAAAATGATCCACTCGTTCCATTACCACCACCTAAAGATGAAGGAGTCTTTGGTTCCATCATTCCTTTATTTTCATCATCACTCCGATCATTCCGAATATTATGAATATGAAAACGTGAGAAACTAAAAAATGAACCTCGTTTTTCATCCCCATTACTCCTACTCCCCTTATCATCATCATTATTCTTTTTGTTATTATTATTCTTCTTGATGTAAAAACATAAATATAAACAAATTCCACATGATAAACAAGATCCAATCATGGAAAAAACCATAATTATAATTAATTTTTCGCTATTAATTCCATTCGGTGGTGATGACGATGAATTAGTTGGTGAATTAGATGATAAATCAGTTGTTACTGTATTAGAAGTATTATTCTCATTAGTATTATTATTAGGAGAAGGACTAAATGCGGGGAGTAAAGAACAGTTATTATTTTGGAGTAATTCCACATTTTCCATTTGAGTACAACAAGTTTCATTATTTTGACAGAATTTACAAAATGAATTTGAATCTTGCTGAAATCCTAAATAATAATAAAAATTAAATCAATTAATAATAATTAATATATTTGAAAATAAATATAAATAATAAATATAAATATATATATAATAAATACATACCACATGTTAATAATTCATTACTTTCACCCGAAATACAAGTTTCAGAATTATCCACATTACTTGAATTATTACACCAACCAATCAAATCCGATAAGATATCATTTGTATCAATTGTTGTATTATTATTATTATTATTTGTATTATCACAAATTGTAGAATTATTTAGAATGGAAGAAATAGAAGAAATATGATCTTGACAAGTTTTATTACATAATTTTGGTGGTGATAATAATAAAGAGGAATAGGATTGAAAAGGAGGAGAAGGAGAAAAAGGAGGAGAAAAAGAAGGAGAAGGAGGAAAAGAAGAAGATGAAGATGATGACGATGAAGGTGATGATGTATTATTACATAAATTATTAATAACCAATTCCGTACATATCATAGTTATAGTAAATCTAGCATACATGGTTGAATTATTAAAATTCAAACAATCTTTATATCTCCATTTAATATATTCATTATTTACATATTCATATAATAATTTATCAAATTCTTTGGCATCATCAAGTTGATTAATTTGATTAATCCAACTATAATTTCCATTAACAAAATTGATGGTTTCGGTTGATGAAATATTTAATGATATACTATAATTTCCAAATGCTTTACAATAATCTGATTTGGATAAAGATAAACAACGATTATTTGGAGTTGTGGTAGTGGTGATTTGAGTTGTCCGGGTCCTCGTCGGAGTGGTCCTAGTGGTTGCACGAGTTGTCGGAGCTGTTATAGTTGTACGGGTTGTTTGAATTATCCTCAATGTCGTAGATTGTTGAGAAAGAATAGGTGGTATTAATAATACTATTAAAAATATTGATACTATTATTGAATTCATAGAATATATAATAAAACGCGTGGTATTTGTTAGATGTATTGTAAGTGTAGAATTTGTTGTTGTTGAAGAAATATTTTTTATTATTATTGACTTGAGAGAATAATTAAAAGATGATCTCATTATATTCTTTAATAGATCCTTTTTTTTTTTTTTTGATAATTTTTTATAGATATTTTTTTTGTTGCTAGATCTTTTTTTTTTTTTTTTTCTGTGGGGAAAAAAAAATGAAAAATGAATCAAATTATCACAATGGTGGTGAATATAAAATACCAAATGTAAGGTTGATATTTTCTTGATGTTTACCTGATATTTACTTGTCTCTCTCTGAAAAATTCAAAGTCTCAACGGTAATATAACAGGTTTTTTAAGGTTAATGAAAATTCAGGTTTTTTTTGGTTTGTTTTGTTTTTGATAACGTAAAAATATTAACAGACGAAAAGTAATAATTGAATTAATATATGATATATCACACGAACGAAAAGTAATAATATATAACAAAATTGAAAAGTGATAATATATATAAATGATGAAATGAAAAGGTAATAGAATGAAATGAAAAATAATTTAAATGATGAATATATAATATATGATATAAAATAATAATGTACAAAAAAATGTTATGTGTGAGGTGGTTTATTATTATTATTATTATTATTATTATTATTTACAAGAAGAAGAAAATCAAAATAATAATTACAAGAACAAAAAAAAATAATATATATATATAATATATGATAGAATTAATTGGATAATGTAATCAGGAACGGAATAATAAAAAATAAAAACAATACAATAAAAGGTAATAAAAAACACAATTATAATTCTGATATAATAAAATATTCCATCAACAAAATTACTAATAATATAATAATAAAATTTATCATATATATATATATATATGTAAATTACATTGTCTGAAAAAAGAAAAAAAAAAAAAGGGAAGAAAGGAAAGAATGAATATGTAATAAATTGAATAGAATAGTAAATAATAGAATGAATGAATGATTATAACAATAATAGAATAATAGAAAATCGATTATGTATCGTAGATAAAAAGGACAAAAAATATTTTTTGTAAGTGCCAGTTTTTTTTTAATAATAATTATATAATAATAATGATACAATAATAATGATAAAATAATAGATAATAGATGAATAGACGAATGGAATGAATGGAGGAGATAATGGATAAAGAAAATCAAGAGGAAAAAAAAAAAAGTTAAAAAGATTTATAGAAAGGTATATATATAAAATAATCAAAAGAATATAAGCATAATATAAATAATAAAGAATATTATAAATATGTATATGTATATATAAATATGGGATTCCCAGAGTAGTAAAAATAATATCAAGAATAGCAAAAAAAATCCAGAAATTCCAGAAATTCCAGAAATTCTAAAACGTAAAAGAGTTAGTATGTTATATATATATATATATATGCAATTTTTTTTTTCTTGTTTACATGATCATTTTTTCAGCATTTTTTTGATCGCTTGATTATTATGATATTACTTACTTTATTATTTATTACAATTGTCACACTTTTTTAGAAAGCATACAATGTTATATTGTAAATATTAATATTTATTATTTATTTATAGTACATTTAATTTCTGATTTATTATTATCGGGTTTAAAATTGATAAACCAGTAATCAATCTAAATAAACCAAATCACGTTTATTTTTTTAAAAATAAATTTTCTAAAAATATGTCATTGTTTCAATTGATTTGATATATCATTCATGTTCTATTATTATGATTAAAGTTTATTATTGATATTATTAAAAGTTAATTATTAAAGAAGTTTATTGTTGATTATTAGAAGTTAAAATTTTATTCTTTATTTATTATTAATAAAAATATTAAAAACCAAAAAAAAAAAAGAAATTAATATTTTTAGTAAAGAAATAAATGAATTATTCCGCATCGGGGAATTGAACCCCGGCCTTCCCGGTGAGAGCGGGAGATCCTAACCACTAGACTAATGCGGATTAATTGTCATTTAAGGTTGTTTTTATATTATTGGTTGAAAAATTATCTTTTTTTACTATATTTCATTATGTAAAAATGTTGATGGATGCCTCCGACGATGTGCTATTAATCCGAATCAATAGTTCGATAAATTTATTTATTTCGATATTATTTATACTGAAAAACAACTAATTGTTCTTTTAAATATTTACGATTGTGATAATCGAGCGCACATCACACCATATAAAAGTAAAAGATTTATTATAAAAATAGATTTATAAAATATTATTTGTAATAATAATAGTAATAATAAAACAAAATAATAATATTAATAAAATAAAAATAATAATAATAGTAATAAAATAAAAATAATAATAGTAATAAAATAAAAATAATATAAAAAAAATAATAATAATAATGGCGGCTCGAGGACGTTTAAATGAAAAAGGGGAAGCCACACTTCAACCTGTTAAGGTTCAACGTTATTGGCCAGGTAAAGCCCCGGATGTTCGATATTCTTCAGACGAAGAGGAAGAAGAGGATGAGGAAGAAGAAGAATTTGAAAGGGAAAGAGATATTAATATTAAAACTACAACCACCACCTCTTTTAATAATGCAAGTGGCACAAAGAAAGTTCATATTTCCGAAAGGGAAGTAGCTGCTGATCGAAGGTTAAGAAGATTAAAAGAAGCGGCGGCGGAAGTAGGTAGTGAAAAAGTATCAAGACGAAGGAGATATGAAGAAGAAATAGAAGAAGTAAAAGAAGAAGTAGTAGTAAAAGTAGAAGAAAAAGAAGGAGAGGAGGTGGAGGAAAAATATAATGAAATACAACCAGATAAAATAATAAAAGAAGAGGGAGAAGATGAAGCTATGGATAGACGACAAAGGTTGAGAGAACGAGCTTTAGAACGACGTCGACAAGAAGAAGAAAGATTGAAGGAATTAGAAACAGCAGAAAAAAATGCCGAAGCTACTCAAATAGTAGAAGAGGTAAATATTAAGCTTATTTAATAAATTGACTAAATAATAATTATGATTAATAATTAATTAAATAATAATAGGAAAGTGAAAGTGAATCTTCATCAGAATATGAAACAGATTCTGAAGATGAAGATGATCAAACAACAAGAAAATTGCTTAAGCCAGTATTTATTCCAAAGTTTGTATAAAAAAATCAAATCAAATAAATATTTATCAATTAATCAATATAATATATATATATATTAATTTATTTATTTATATCTATATCAATAAAAAATTAATTTCTTTTGTTAATTAGAGCTCACCGGGAAACAATATTAGAAAGGGAAAAGATTGAAAAATTGGCGGAAGAAGCTGAAACCATGAAACTTAAAGAACGTGAAGAAAGAAAACAAGAATCTCACATGATGGTTGCTAGTGTGGTTCAAAAAGAAAAACAAAAAGAATGTAATTCATTCATTCATTCATTATTTAATTGATATTTATATTTTTTATTTTATTGCATTTATAATAATAATAATAATAATAATAATAATTTTTATTATATAATTTTGTTATAGTTGATGAAGAGGCGAGTAAACGAGAAGTTGAAGATATTGATGGTATTGATGAACAAGCTGAATATGAGGCATGGAAATTACGAGAATTAAAAAGAATAAAGACGGATAGAGAAGAAAGAAGAGCGTAAGCTTTTTAATAAGAAATAATTTTTTTTTAAAAAAATAATAATATAATATTTACATACACATGCACATACATATAGGAGAGAAAAAGAACGTGAAGAGATAGAAAAGCGACGTAACATGTCCGAAGAACAACGTATGAAAGAAGATATGAACCATGTAAAGAAGCAACGTGAAGAAAAAACCAAAGGAAAATATATGTTTTTACAAAAGTATTATCATAAAGGAGCATTTTATTTGGTACAAATTTATACTATATTATTATTATTATTATCATTGTTTTATTATTTTTCTTCTCGCGAGTAATAATTAATTAACATTTTTTTAGGATAAAGATGAAGATATTTTCAAACGTAATTATGCTGCACCGACACCAGATGAAGCAGTTCGTAAGGAGGTATTACCAAAAGTTATGCAAGTTAAAAATTTTGGTCGAGCTGGACAAACTAAATGGACACATTTGGCAGATCAAGATACAACTAAGGTTTGTTGATTATTATTATTATTGGTTTATATTATTTTTTTTTTTTTCAAGAATTCAAGAATTAATTCACATTCTCACATACATACACACACGAATATATAGAAAGATTCCGTCTGGAGTAAAAACACTCCAATAAATAGATCAACGACATCTAAATTAGGTGGTTTACATGGAGGATTTGATAAACCCACTTCTAAAAAACGTAAAACCGAATAACTGCAAAAAAAAAAACGAACGAAAAACAATAAATAATAATTGTATTTAATATGTGAATATTTTAAATTTTAAATTTGTTGTGTAAATATTTTTTTAATAGATGTATTTAATCGAGAATATTTCGTTTAATCATCAAATTAATTTGTTTGTACAATTATACGATATATAAAGGATATATATATAAAAGAAGTTAAATCTATTCAATTAATAGAGTAAAATGAAAATAATAATAATAATATATATACACACACTTTCATTTTTTTTTTAAAAAAATATATATATATTTATATATTAAATAAATTAAAATGAACTAAAAAAAACCCAATAAAAACCACTAATAACTATTACATTACAGATTAACAAATTCTAAAATGTTTAATATAATATTTAATCATTGCAGATAACTTCCATGACCTTCGATATCTCTTTGTCGTCTAACTAAATAATTTAATTTTTCCATAACCTATAATATTATATAATTTAATAAATAAAGATTAAATAATAAATAAATAAATAATAAATAAAAATAAATAATAAATAAATTAAAATATACCTCTTCTAATTTCCTTTTTCTTTCTTGTAATTCTAAATGTTTCCGTATTCTAGGATTTTCTTTGGCGAATGACAAAATTTGTTTTCGATCTAAATCATAAACCAATCGATTATCCACTTCTCTCGGAAATTGAAAAAAGAATTCATTTAATAATTCAACTTGAATTAACATAACCGCGGTATAAGTTAATTTTTCCGCTATCACATTAAGAAATGCTTCAGGACAATATTGTTTATTTTCTTGTGATTTACATTGACGTGATTTTAATGCCGCCAATCGATATTTTAATATCATCAATCGATCCCTTAAGAATATTGCTTCTTTGGCTTTTTCCACCACTTTCGGATTAAAATGAATTACTCGATGATCGAAATAATCACCACTTTCAATAACATTACTAATCATTGCTGTTGATGAAAGATCACCGTGACTCAATGTTGTTGTAGTAGTATTAGTATTACTAGAATTATTAGCATTACTAGAATTACTAGTATTACTAGTATTATTAGTATTATTAGTGGTATTGGAGGAGGAGGTATTGGAAGTATTATTAATAACATTCTCATTTTCATTAACATTATTTGTATTAATTGTATTTATATTTTTATATGTCATTTCTCTACGTTTTGCGGATTCTTTTTCCGAATCAAGTACATATTTTATCGCGGCTCTTAATTTCTTTTTACCTAAAGAATTTTTAATACTTCTTAAGGCTTTCTCACAATTTTCTAATTCTTTTTCCAAAAGTGAAATTGATCTCTTAACTCCATCCGTCCATTCTTGTTCAGTACATTCCACTTCATATTTATAAGGTTTTACACAATTTTCCACTTGATCCGCGGTGGTATGAAATTTATTACGTAAAATTTCATTACTAAATTTTAATACTTTATTACTAGTATCCGGATGATTATTTAACGGATCAATTGAAGCCAATTTTTCCATATTGGCCATTAACACATCAACCACCAATTGTGTACTGGTTCGACCTATTCCACTTTTAGTAAGTGAGGCAGAACTTAAATCCAATTTATATTGCCAATAAATATCATCGATTGTTGCTTTGGGTAAATAATTAATTTTATTATCCGTCCAATATAATTCCGCGCAAAGATCCAAAACCCTTTGTTCCAACATTGTTCTAACTTCATGTCTCACTTGAGGTTTACCAAATGAATGTGCGAAATTTTTGAAATTATGTTTAATACTATCAATTGTTTCTGCTACATATGATTCGGCTGTGATTCGTCTATCAAATATATATATATATATTTATATTTGGTGAGTGATAAATGAATGGCGAGAATAAATAAAAAGGATAAAAAGAATAGAAAGAATAAATAAAAGAAAAAATAAATTTATTAATAATATGTATAAATAATGTTGAATAAATAATATTAAATAAATAATATGAATTATAAATAAATTACCTATCATTATAATGAACTTTAAATTGATAACGAGCTTCTTCTAATTCTACTTGTACCGCACTAACAATTGAAAATAATGATTTCGCCATATTCTCTTCTAACACTTCCATTAATTTTCTACGTAAAGTTCCTGTACCAACTTGAATCCCTCTTTGACTATAAACATAATTGCTTCGAAAGAATTCTTCTTCATGACGCATGAGTGCTTTTTGATCATTATTATTATTATTATTATTATTATTACTATTAAAATGTGTTAAAGAAGAAGACGACGATGAAGAAGTTATTGATTTTGTTAAAGGAGGTTTACAAACAACACCAATATATCCCAAATGTAAAGGATAATCCGAATTCCTTAAAATAGATGCTCCAATTTCCGGTTCCACCAAATCCATTTTTGTAATTACTCCAATGGTTCTTAAACCTAATGGATCAACTTTTCTTCCCGCTTTTAAAGCTTCTGAATTAGCCAAATCCACGTCAGCCGCACAAACCGCCAAAATGATATTGGGTTCTTTAATATATTGTTGACATAATTCCGTAATTTTATCTTTTAAAGTTTCGGGTTGTTTCTTATTACTAACTTGAATATAACCTGGTAAATCTATTAAAGTTAAATCTGGTACATTGGCGGAAAAGATTCTTAATTCAATAGGTTTATTTGATACACATTCTGATTCTGGTACCGCCAAATTTAAATCACGTAAGGTTTTTTGAATTTGGGTAAAATCATGTATTTTGCCTAAACCTAATTGAGGAAACTCTCCATATTCTTCTTTAGATTTTGGTGTATGGATTAATGTTAATTCTATTGGTCTACGTGTTACCATATTTGATCCTCTATAAATCATTTAAATAATTTGGTATAATAAGAATTTATTCATATTAAAACTTTTATTCATATTAAATCAAATAAAATAATTAAAATAAAATAAAATAAATCCATCACCTAAAGAAGAATAATAAAAAAAACTTACTTTGGTAAAAATTCATGTCCCACGATAGCTTCCAATACTGAACTTTTACCTGAACTTTGACTTCCAATAACTACGATACTAGGTAATTTAAGTCCTTCATTATGATCAATATTTAATAAAATATTTCGAACTTCAATTAATTTTCTAGTGAGTAACATAAATTCATCATCTTGAACTGAAATTCCTCCATCACTACGTTTAAGACGTTTAGTGGAAATTTTTTCATCATCTTCTTCCTCTTCTCTTCTTTCTCCACCTAAAAATATTGATGCAGCGGCAGCGGCGGCACCACCAACACCACCACTATTACTACTTCCACCACTACCACCACTATTATTACTATTAGAATCAATTAATTCACCATCTTTTTTAATAAATCTAGGTTTATCCGATTCCACTTGAAATTGATAATGATTTGAGGAAGTTGAAGAAGATGAAGAATTTGATGAATCATTTTTTGAAGAATTTGAGGAAAAAATATTTGAGAGAAATTTAGGTGGTTGAGGGATTTCGATTGAACTGATTGAACCAAAAGCTGACTTAATTCCGGATGTGATCGAATTTAATAAATCTGAACTTTTGATTGCCATCTCTAATTTTAATAAAATATTTAAAATATTAATTAATTAATTAATAAATAAATAAATAAATAATCGATTAATTAAATTACTGAATTTAATATGTGGATATAATTAAATAATTTGAATAATGATTGAATAATGATTAAATAATAATAGAATGATTAAATATTGGAATAATAATAATTTAATAATTATTTACCATTAAGTTTATAATTAGCATAAGTAAGACCTCCCACACCAACCGTTACACCGGCAGCAGGTATTCGCATGGAATGTAAAATGAATCTTGGTATAGAAGTAAATGAAAAATGTCTGACTTGAAAATTATTTGGATTATTTATCCTTGTCATAAGGTAATGATTATTATTATAATATGGTGCAAGTGAAGGACGATGATAAGTTTTATAGAGATAATGATTATTATTATTGTTGTAATAATGATTTGGTGTTGTTGTGATCGTTCTCTTTGAGTGTATTATCCTCAACCCCTTCATTCTATTCAATCCCTTCATTCCATTCGCTCCATTCACTCCACCGAGTTTGCTTAGAGTTAACATAAGCATTTTGTAGATCTTTTTATCACATTTATTATTATCAACACTATTTATTAAAGATTTAAAAATTTGATTATCACTTTTTTTTTTTTAAACCAACGAAACATAGATGATCTAAAAAAGGAAATTTTAACAATAGACAATTTTTTGGATTGAGGAAAATCATCTATCTTTTCCGATGACCAACGAACATATGAAACATATGATAAATATGGGTTTTAATCGTAACTGATAGAGCCAATTCCCATGTACTTGGGTAAAAGAGATTTCCTAAAATAAATATATTAAATGTCAAAATTGACTACTGAATTTTATATGATAAATCTATGTGACTTCTATTAATTGTTGAGTCCTTTTTTTTTAAAAAAAAAAAATGTTTGGTCTGATCTATCCATTCATTCCCTTCGATTCCCTTCGATTTCCTTCGTTTCCCTTCGTCAATGGTGAAAAAGAATAAGAAAAATATAGAGTTCGAGAATGTATTTATTGATTTACTGCTGTTTTATAAATCCCATTTCTATTTATTATTATTATTAGATCGAAGGATCTCAGGAATTATATTAAAAAAAAAAAAATTTTTAATTATCATAAAATGAGACGTTACACGTAAAAGAGATATCACATTGCATATTCCCATTTTATATAACTCGAAGCTCGAATTTTTAAAAATTTTTTTTTTGTTAAAATTTATTATGATTATTAATAGAATAATAAAATAATACATAATAATAATAAATTATAATAAAAATAGTATTAATAATATTAATTACGACGACAACAACAAACAAGCAATAATATTAATATAAAAAAGGTCGCCAATATTTCAGTCAACGTTACACTTCCGTTTACAATAGTTCTTTGGCGTTTCGCCAAATCTTTCGTCGTTCCTTTCCTCAGTAAGATCACAAATCCTTTGTTTTACATGACGATGACAGGTAAATAATATAAATTGTGATAATTTTTTTAAAAAAAATAAAATAAATCTATTTTTATATTTCGTTGTAATGCATTTATCATTTATCTTTATTATCATCATTTCTTCTTTAAAAACAAAAACAAAAAAAAATAATAAATAATCAATAATATTATAATCAATAATATAATAATAATAATAATAATAATAATAATAATAATAATAATAATAATAATGAAATAGGAACCACCGAAAATAGAAATGCCAGGAATTCTAAAAAGTCCCAAAAGAACGATGAAGAAATATTACTATTTGTTAAATGGGGAAGGGAAATGATTCAACTAGATTTTAATAAGGAAGGACCAGGATCTCTTGGAACTACCACCTTAAAACAAATGAAGGAACGATTAAAGAATATTACGGGTGTACCGTTGAATGGACAAAAATTGTTATTTTCGGGAGGTAAAAAAAAAAAAAATTATATATAGTTTTTTTTTGTTTTATTTTAATAATATTAAATTTTTTCGTTCTTTCTAATAATATGTAATGTATATAGCCGTATTAAAGGATGAAACAGCGATGTTGACATCTTTTGGATTATGTTCACCTTCAAAATTGATTTTAATGGGATCAAAACCAGATGTAAAGATTTTAATAATAATAATAATAATAATAATAATAAATTCTAAATTTATTCTAATTATTTTAATTATATTAATTATATCAATTATTCTCTTTGTTATTTTTGTTATTTTATTCTCTTTTATTTATTCTCATTTATTTATTATGTTATTTATTCAATTTATTCAATTTATATAATTTATTAGGAAAAGGATTTAGCTCAAACTTCAACTGGTTCACCAGAAGAATACGCACTTATTCAACGTATTTCAAAATTAATTGAATCTACCACCACTTCATTACTTCCACGAATTGAAACATTTGAAACTTCCGTTACTTCATATTTATCATCCACCACCACTACTGATCTTAATAATAATAATAATAATTATAATAGTAATAACGAGGATCGATCTAAACTTCTTGATTTACATCAAATGTTAGTTGAAAATTTAATGCAATCTTTACTTACATTGGATGGAGTAGTTTGTCCCCCAGAATTTAGTGGAGCCAGACAAAAAAGACGTGAGGCTGTTAAATTTACTCAAGAATTAATTGATCGGGTTGATGAAATAAAAGAAAAATTAGTTATTAATAAACAAAGAAAACAGAAACAAGAGAAAGATAATGAACAAGAACAGCAAGGAGGGGAGGAGCAACAGACTTTCTCCTCTTCTTTATAATTATAAAACAATAATAACGTTTATTTTTGTAATTTTTTGATTATAACCATGAATCAACAACAAAAAACAAAGAACAAAGAACAAAGAATAAAGAACAAAGAACAAAGAATAAAGAACAAAGAACAAAGAATAAAGAATAAAGAACAAAGAATAAAGAATAAAGAATAAAGAACATGAGGCGTGGATGAGAGACCAAAAAAAAACAAAATTAATAGACTTTTTCATATTTAAATTTTTACCAGTTTAATACTAGTTTAATTTACTAGTTTAATACTTGTTTATTTTAATAGTTTAATACTACTTTATACTTACTACTAGACCTCTCAATTTTTTGGCATTATAATAATGATAAATAAGATAAATAAAAAATATATAAAGAGGATATATATATATAAAGTATATATAAGTATACATAAAGCATACATAGATATAATATAAATAAGAATAATAATATTTTATGTCATTTACTATAAATTTATACTTATATTATATCAAATATTATATCATTAGACGAAGATTTTTACATAAAATGATGTAATAATCTTTTGTAATTAATCTTTGTATATCGATCGTTGTATACACATGTACAAAATAGATATTAATCATTATTTTTTCATATTTCATTATTTCATTATTTATTATTTATTTTTTCCTTATTTTTTCCTTAACCGGTTTGAGATCTACTTGAAATCGTACTTTAGCATCATCATCAAAGGGGTTGGTTGGGGGGAGTGGGGTATTTCAGTATCTTCATTTGTTGATGACGCACGCAAATGGAAAATCCATTGTCATACCTGAGGCGTTCTATTCTAAATCGACTTTTTTAAATTAATCCACATTTATCGACATTTCGTTTTTCTTATTAAATAAAAAAGAATTACTCAGTTAATGAAGGTAATACAAAGTTTATGAATTATTTCATATACATTCTGTGAGTATAAATATGTATAAGGAATATCATATCATCATTTTCTTCATTTTCTTTCACCCTCATTACTTCATTTCTTATTAAAAAATAAATATTGGGAGGCGAAAAAAAAAAAAAAAATCTTTCAAGTATATAAAAAGTATAATAAAGTTTATCCACGTTCTTGATATGTAAATGATAAACACATGATATGCCATGCGCATGATATAACAATATAACGAACGTATACTTGTATCTTTATATCTGAATGATCTAATTTTTAATTTAGGCGGGATTTTTTTTCGGAAAGCATTGTTATTTTTGATCATTCCTGGATTTAGGTTAGTTATTGGCTTTTCTTCTTTTTCTTTGATTATTTGATTATTTATTAATTTATTCGAATAATTTCTTGATTATTTAATCATTTTTTTTTTGATTATTTAACATAATATCATAATATTTTTATTGACATAATATCATAATATTTTGATTATTTAATTCAATTTATCTGATTGATTATTTGACAATTTTTTTTTTTTTATATTGATAATTTTAAATATAGAATAGTTTGAAATACAATCGTCGTATCATTATCGTGTAGTGAATTTTAATATGAATAGAAAAAAAACAAGAAGAATGAGGAAGAATGGGTGGGTGAAATGGGAAGAAATGAGAGATATATATTAAATTTGATAAGGAGTTGATACTCCTGATTATTTTTTTTTTTGTTATTTAATTCCATTATGACATTTACGCCTCCTCAATCAATCAATCATCATCATCTGTTTTTAAATGAAGAATGTTTATTTATGTATTTCTTTCCTTTCGAAAAAAGATTTACAAATATTTTTGCCACAAATAAATAAATAAATAAATAAATTTCTATTATAATAATAATAATAACATTAATAATAAATATTACATACATAGTATTTATTATTATTACTATTATTATTATCAACTGTTATTCATGATTGTTTATGATTGTTTTAGATGGAAGATTATGACTTTGGATGTAAATAAACTGTAGATATTAGACTTTATGGATTTTTAATAGATTTACTGTTACAGTTAGACAATATAATAATAATTAGACTATAGATGATATAATAATAATTAGACTATAGATGACAATATATCTCCCCTTAAACTATACTACTACTACTACTATTATAGTAGTACTATAATAGTGGTACTATAAGATATTGATGATACCTACTATTTGTAGGTAGCGGTAAAACTATTTTAAGATAAATAGAGTAATTTTTTTTTTTTTATTATACCAATTTCGCATATATTCAATCTATCTTGATATTTTGATATTTTGATATTTTGATATTTTGATATTTTGATATTTTTAAATATAAAATTTTATATTATTATTTTTTCCAACAAAAAAAAAAAAAAAACCAAACCAATTTTCAATAAATTAAAACAATCTTATCTTAAAAATTATCAAGAAATATAATTAAAAATATAAAAATATCTCAAATAAATATTTCACCCAGTAGTTATCCCAAAGAAAACATAACCTCCACCACCAAAAGTTCTTATTCAAATATCAAAAAAATTACCCAAATCATTATTTTTTTTTTCACGCGGAAACATAATAATGTTTCAAGCATTAAATCAAGGCAACGAACTAGAATATGAAGGTATAAAGACAAGTTCTATAATAATATATGTGTATATATAATATTATTTGGATAATTTTTACAACGACGATAAAAATATTTGGATAAAATATTTGGATAATAATAATAATAAAAATAATAATAATAATACTAAATAACAAATAATAATCAATAAATTAATAAATTAATAATAAATAATAAATAATAATTTTTAATTATTTTAATATTTAGACGTTCAATCTCGATCTAGTCATACCAGACCACCCTCAACATCGGTGGTCGAACCTGAAGAGAATACACATTTATTAATTGGAATAAGACCTTCTAGAAAACAAGTTAGTGATTGGACACATAATGAATGGAAAAGGATATTAGTGTTGAATGTTTTGCCAGTTGCTGTGGTATTTATTTAATTATTTAATTGTTTAATTATTTAATTATTTAATTATTTAATTTATTGTTTAATTATTTAATTATTCAATTCATTGTTTAATTAATTAATTAATTGATTAATTATTATTATTATTCATATATTCTTTATATATAATTTGTTTCGATATTTATTTATTTTTTTTTTAGGTTTTAGTTTGGTGTGCGATACCTTTACCTACATATGATCCCAATGATTCCAATGATATTATTAATAATAATAATTATATATCTAATGATATAACACTAAATCAACATCAAAATCAATATTCTCATTATTTATTATTAAATCATTTTAGTAATAATTTTAATTTTAATTTTAATAATAATAATAATAATAATAATAATAATAATAATAATAATTTAGATAATAATTTAGATAATAATTTAAATAATAATTTTAATAATGATGATGATAATAATAATTTCGAGAAACCTTTAGAAATCAATTTTTGGTATTTCTTATTTTTCTATTATGGTTTTTATAATGCCATAGCATTATTAATGATAACCAAGATTTTTGATTTATATTCATTAAATTGGTGGCCTAAATGGTTGGGTGGAGGATTTGCTTATTTTATATTTTGGATCTTTTCTTTATTCTTGGGAGCTTTAATTTATCTTTATACGGGTTTAGAAAAATTTAATTTAACTTGGGTTTTGTTAACTTTTTTTACCATGAATATGCCATTATTAGTAGCATTCATATTAATTAAATCAGAAAATAGAAATACTTATCGACATTCAAGGACCATATTTCAAAAAACTTTTCTCGAACGACAATTAGATGTTAGAATTCCCGCTTCCTATCGTAGATTTTTATGGTTCTGTTTCACTTTATTTATTATAATTTCTGCTTTCATCGCCGGTGAGGCTTACGCTTACGTTTTCATTTCTACTCCCTCAGCACATACTGGAATTGATGCTTTCGTTTATGTTTATTCTTGGTTAGCTACAATTTATATTCTTGACACTGTCACGGAATATATCATTGAGACTAGAGTTAAATCTTACCCTCTTCAATTCTCTTTCAAACTTTATTTCTTTATGATTTATTTCATTTTTTATCGTAACCTTTTCGCTAGACTACGTAACCCCAAACAATATATTTTAATTCAAGCCGCTAGTTCTTTATGGGTTTGCATTTTTTATCCAATCTGTATGACTGGATGGATGCATAAGCAATTGGTTTATTTCTTTGGTTTAAGGAAAGATTATAAGGATTATAAAAAACAATGTGGGAGATCTTTTTTCATTAGGAATTTGGCTGAAAATGCCACAATGTTGGGATTCATATGTTGGATATGTATAATACATTATGGTCCAAATTGTGATATTTACCCTTACTTTAAATTTAATGAGGAAGGGAATGAATTTAATTTTGATTACACCTTAAGAGCAAGTTGTTATATTTGGGCATTTGAATTGGCCAGTACCATAATTACAAGATTAATATATAAAAAGGTATTTAAACATGATATAACACGGGAAGCTGTAAATGATTTTAAAGAACATCCTGAAATGGTGGTGGCTTTGATAGTTATAATTATACACGTTCTTCAGGTAAAAATTATTTAAATTATTTATTTATTTATTTATTTATTCATTTATTTATTAATTTATTTATTTATTTATTTCTTAATAATTATCACAATTACATTACATTATTATTATCACATTAGGATATGTTAATGGCTTTATTGAAATTAAACTTTCAAGGTGGTCACAGTGGAAAGAACCGACCATAATAATAAATATGTAAATATTAAATATTTAGATATTTAATAATGTTTATATCTAGAATTTTAATTTTAATTTTTTTTTTATTTTTCGAATTTATTATCATTTTAATTATTTACCGTAAGGTTCAAATTATTATTAATATTATTACTTGTTATTATCACTTGTTATTATTGTTATTATTGTTTGTTATTGGCATTCTTTATTATTATTATTATTATTATTATTATTATTATTATTATTTATATGCATATAGAATTTTTGACAATTGGAGAATTTCGAGAAAGAGAGAGAGAATTGATCAATTTTCTCTTTTCTTTTTCATATATAATATATATATATATATATATTATATATATTATATATTTAGTTTTTTTTTTTTTGCTTTGCATTTTTTAATTTTTTAATTTTTTTAGCACATTTAAAAAAAACCAACCAATCAACACTTAACAAACAAAACAACCATAAACCATACGTATATATATATATTTAAAAACACCCACATATATATTTATATATATATTGAATATTTTTAAAAAAAAATTGACATATATAGAAGAAAGAAAGAATATAAATATAATTTTTTTTTTTAAAAAAAAAAAATTTACACTTCAATATATAATTAAAAAAAAGTTTGTATCTTATCATGAACGTGACATAATATACAATCTATATTTCATGTACATATGATGTAATGTATATAAAATTGACTGATAAAAGGTGAGATGGTATTTCTTATTGGCAACAAACATTACGTGTTCTATGTGCTTTCTATATCGATAATAGCCTTTGTCTATATATAAATTTTCAGAATTTCATAAGAATGTTTGTTTGATATATATACACAAATATATATGTATTTATATATCAAACATGTTCAAACTTTATCCAAGGTAATTTAATTTCAATTATATTAATTAATAAATTAAATTATGTGGATAAAAAAATTTTTTAAAGCAAAAAATTTATTCATTCATTCTTTCTTGTACATGAATGAAAAATAAGCTTCAATGTACTAATAAACTATCATTTATTATTGGATCAAATATTAAAATATCGTAGAACTTATTAAGTTCAAACGAAGTATGTAGATCACAAGATGCGAATTTTGTCCAATCTTTTGGACCCAAGTAATGTAACCTAAGCCAATCCAATTAAAATCCGAATTCGAAACACTTTTCCATTGTGTAATTTACTTAATAAGTCTAATCAGTTATTGGGGAATAATTGATAAGGTCGAATTAATTCTTGTCTTCGTTTAAACAAAAAAAAATGACATTTAAATTTTTAGACAAATTATCTGGAGACCTATCGGGACTTCTTAATGATAATGAAGAGTACAACGTTATAATCAAATTTCAAAATAAAATAATTTTCACTGCGCATTCGATGGTCTTACGTTATAGATCATCTTATTTTAATAAAGAATTAAAAAATATTACTCTTCTCAATAATGATAATAATGATGATAATAATAAGAATGTTAAAACTATTGCTAAACTAAATATGTCCGCTCATATATTTGAAATTCTGCTTAAGTAAGGCATATCTTTATTTTACAAATATATGTATTTTTTTTAAATTTAAATACGGTTTTGAAATGATATTGAGATATTCCATTAATTTTAATAATTTTATACAGATATATCTATGGCGGAATTATTAATATAGAAAACATGGATACCAGAACTATATACGATTTGATGATTGGTGCTGATGAGTTAGAACTTGAAGAATTATCTGTGAAATTAGAAAATTATTTAATTGAATCTAAAGCTTCTTGGTTAAAAACTAATTTCTTTCTTATTTATCATTCAATATTTAAAACTAACACATTTCAAAATTTCGAAAAATATTGTAGTGATATTATTGTAAAACATCCAAACCTTATTTTTGAATCAGCAGAATTTCATACTCTTCATGAAACTGCTTTAATAGCTATTTTAAAGAGAGATGACCTACAAATGAAAGAATCCGAGGTTTGGGATTATGTAATTAAGTGGGGAACTGCTCAGAATTCTAATTTACCTGAGAATTTGGAAGAATGGTCTGACGAAAACTTCATGACTTTAAAAACGTGCGTACAACAGTGTTTACCGCTTATTCGTTATTTTCACATTTCAAATTTAGATTTAATGGATAAAGTCAAGCCATATAAGAAAATTATTGATAACCAGTTGTGGAATGATTTAAATCAACAATCGAATCAACAAATAGAATCAATCATCCTTCCACCAAGGTTGATTTTATCATTTTCAACTATAATCAGTGAAGAGCATGCAGCAATTATTTCATCATGGATTGATAATCAATCAACAAGTTATTATTCTCCGAGAAATAATCCTTATGAATTTCAATTAATCCTTCGAGGAAGTAAGGATGGATTTGCTCCAAGAACTTTTTGGGAGACTAGTGATGGGCATGCTAATACAATTGTGATCACCAAGGTTGAAGGAACAAATGAATGTATTGGAGGATTTAATCCTTTGGCTTGGGATAAATCAGAATTTGGTTGGGTGAAAACCAATGAAAGTTTCATATTTTCATTTAAGGATAGTAGTATCCAAAATCCAATTCTTAGTAGAGTTAGTAATGAAGATAATGCCTTATTATATACTTATTATAAAGATAAATTTGGTCCATTTTTTGGAAATTGTGAATTCCTTATGTGTACAGATTTATCTGATTTTAGTCTAGATAAGCAAAGTAGGTGTTATGGTTCTAATTCTTATGAAAAATCTATTAGATCAACTAATGATGAATTTTCTATTATAGACTATGAGGTATTTAAAATTGTTAAAAAAAATCCATCTTAAATAATTTATTTTTTTGTTTTTTTTTTTTTTTTTTTTTTCTTTTAATATTGTTATACTTAGAAATCATTATATTTACGTATATTAGAATTCTGTTATATAATAATAAAGAATTGTTAGTGGTTCATAAATTCAATTTTTTAAATGATTTACTATAATATAAAGTTTATTTGTTATATACCTGACCTGATATGTTAATTAAAATATTTATACACAGCCATCACATATATATATTATATACCATCCATCTTATTCATGTTATAGATGTAAGTATCTGCACGCTAACAGTGACTTCTACATTTCCATATAAAATGATGAAGAACACACAATTCTTTTTATGAATTAGGATTTGCTTATTTTCATAGTGACGGTGGTGAAGGGAGATAAGTATAATGATGATGATGAAGCATTAATTTGAGGTATAAGAAGAGATGAAAGTAATTGAATGAATTATTTTACAATAAAATAAATTTATTATTTGCTATCAACGTATATACAGTATAATCTATAATCATATATTTTTTATTATAAATACATAATTTTAATTTTTTTATTTAATATAAATAATTTATTAGATGAAATATTAATAATTATTATAAAAATTGCATATTATTATCAGGATTTATTTATGAGTACATGCATTGTATGCATTGTACAAGGTTGCTCCAACAACATTTAACTCTACTCTTTACATTTATATTTTGTTCGCTCAAATCCTTCTAAAATTGTAAAAAGAAAATTTGTATTTTTTAAAAAATGACATTTAGATTTTTAGACAAGTTATCTCAAGACTTTTCGGAACTTAATGATAAAGAAGAATGCAATGTTATTATTGAAGTCGATCAAGAAGAAACTAAAAAAAACTTCATTGCGCCTCAGCCGTTTTATGTTATCGTTCATCATATTTTAATAAGGAATTAATAAATACTGTTCCCAATGATGATAATATTAAAATTATTACTAAACCAAATATTTCTGCTCAAATATTTGAAATTATTCTCAAGTAAGACCTTTATATAATTTATTTTTAATTTAATAATTATATATTAATAAATATTTTTAAATGTTATGAAAATTTTAATTAAAATATTTGCCTATTTTAAATAATTTTATACAGATATATCTATGGTGGAATTATTAATACAGAAAGTATGGATACTAGAAATATGTACGATTTGATGATTGTTGCTAATGAATTGGAGTTTGAAGAATTATCTGTTAAATTAGAAAATTTATCTTATAGAATCCAAAGCTTCTTGGTTAAAAACTCATTTCTCATTTACATATAACTCAATTTTTGAATATAACGCATTTCAAAATTTAGAAAAATTTTATAATGATATTATTACAAAATATCCAAATCTCATTTTCGAATCTGCAGAATTCAATTCTCTTCATGAATCTGCTTTAGTTTCTATTTTAAAACGAGATGATTTGAAAATGAAAGAATCGGAAATTTGGGATTATATAATTAAATGGGGAACTGCACAGAATCCTGCTTTACCTGAGAAATTGGAAGAATGGTCTGACCGAAACTTCACGACTTTAAAAGCAACTCTACAACAATGCTTACCACATATTCGTTATTTTCAAATTCCAAGTTCAGATATTATAGATAAAATTAAGCCATATAAAAAATTCTTGATAGACAATTGTGGAATGATTTGAAACAATATCTTATGCTTCCAGATCGACCAATAGAATCAATTATCCTTCCACCAAGATTGGTTTTAACTGAAGAACTACTACCAGCAAGAGTAAATCAATTATTTTCAACTATAATAAATGAAGAACATGCAGCAATGATTTCATCATGGATTGATAATCGAACAACAAGTTATTCTTCAAGTAATAATCATTATGAATTTCAATTAATTCTTCGAGGAAGTAATGATGGATTTGCCCCAAGAACTTTTTGGGATATTTGCGATGGGCATGACAATACAATTGTAATCACCAATGTCAAAGGAACAAATGAAATTATTGGAGGATTTAATCCTTTAGTTTAGGATAAAACAAAAAAGGATTATATGAAAACAAATAAAAGTTTTATATTTTCATTTAAAGATGGTAACATCCATAATTTAATTCTTAGTAGAGTTAGAAATGAAAATTTTGCTATATTCAATTTTTATGATAAAGATAATTATGGACCATGTTTTGGAGATTGTGAATTCATGATGAGATCAGATGTA